AATCTCTCTTATTCCACCCACTACTATATAAAACTGTTTTGAACACTGCTACGATACACCCAACGACCTTCGTGGACGTTCATTTTAATATGTATGAAAACTATGTATTTCTTTAATCTTTTTACCAAATATGTTTTACCAGTAAAACTGGGTTTGTTCTTAAGATGAAGAAAATAGACGGTGGTGGGACTTCGGTACAAGGTCTTGTAGACGGTCACACAAACGTCTAGTTAACTAACAAAATATGGCGAATTCGAACTCGCCAACAAAAACTAGTTTGTCATAGCAACCATAGTATTTAGTTTTGTTGATCATCAACGTTTATGATCTATGTCGAATTATTAGAGGCCTGCTGGAGTTACATAAAAGTAGTGTGATGAACCAGCTAACTTCGAAGTCATATCTCGCGGTCAGCATCTAACGTAGATCACCCCTTCAACGTATCAAAGTACTATTGTTGCTCTAAAGACCGTATAACACAAAGGACGTTGTTATGGAAATATATTAGTAAGAATGAGTACAGAGACGATAGCGAGATCACCACCGCATGTGCCAGTCCATGGCATACCATGCGCGTTCGATATTCAGTGACCCAACTCTCGGAAGATTTTTCTAGGGCTCAGTAACATTTTACTGGCCCTACAGATTCAGAAGGTTAACCTTTTCCCTGACTAGAATAAGAATCTTGTTTTCGAGCTACCATTAAGTGTCAGCGGATCGTGAAAACTGAATCTTGGAGATTGCTTCAGCCAAGATGAACAGTTAATGGTTGTGGAGGCTGGTCAAATGAATCTACCTTCATACTTTTAATGGGACGAATAATGCGGAATTATGACTTCCTAAACTATTGTGAGAAAGATTATTATTTACATTTTTATCATAAAGTTAGCGAGCTCTTAGGCTGTTGTATTTTTATAGCATACTATTTCAAATCTTTTGTTTAATCTGTAAATCGTAATCACATGTCTTATCACTTTAAACTTACCATTTATTAATTATTTACCTATTACTATTATCTCATATCACTAAGTCATACATGTATTATAATTTTATAGTTTTGTTGCTGTGTGGTCAGACACTTCAGGTATATTAGCATATGAGTTCGGAGTTACAACTGAATTAAGTACAACACAAAATTGGACTACTTTTCATCATCGTCTTCCGATTGCCTTCTGGGTCAGAAGGAGTTCAATGACCAATATCCCTTAAGGTCCTGGTTAACGTCCATTTATTGATATGTCAGTTGGTACTTAGGTCCTGTTTGTACCTGTCGAACTGATATCAGAGGTGAACTGATCGATAAAGGATTAGAGGACGAGAATTGTAGTACCAAACAAATTCTTTAAATAAATGGATCTGTAAGTCTTACAGGTAGATACTGACGTAATTAGTTATACTGAACACATCCTAGCTGGAGACGCTAGGTCAAGCATCTGCAAAAGATCAAGAGTGGGTGCACTGTGCAACGCATCCCTCTCAACAACTAGGCAGTTTAGATCACACACTTCTCTATGTACAGACTATCTTCCAAATATATTTTCAAACTCCCTCATTCCCTGTTTCTGGTTTAATTGGATTTGAGATTTTCGATTACAAAGGTGTTACAGACAACAGTGTTGTCAAGCATTGAATAGCTGTGTCATCCTTAGACCACGCAATTATTATCTTGTCATGACGGCCTGACCACACAGAACCCAGCACAACCTAATTGAGCAACCTGATTTGTTATGACATTGTTTAAGTAATTACTGTAAATGGTCATCTGTAGGCGCACTTGCAATTATTAGATTGAAGCCTGTAGCTTTCTCCCCATTTAATTTTGCCGCACCCTTCCCAATCAGTCATAACTAGAATATTAGTCTACGACCAAGCCTATTATTAGATAATTATCAATAAGATAGTAGATATTGGTCGGTTGATTTAGTTCTAAAATCTCTTTACTGCTACTGTAATCCCTTTTATGAGTGATTATTAATTTATCTCTTTTTTGGGAATTATTTTTGGATTTGATATTTCCAAACGCGAAATTTTAGACAAATATATGTAATCTACCGTTATTCTTTATATCCAATATATTTTTCAGTTGCGATTATTATTTATCCACTTAAATTAACTGCCAGAATACCCACAGTCTGAGATTAGAGATAATTCTTTCTGTAAAACACTACTCTGAAGAAATAGTAGTATACACTGACTCTACAAATAAATAACATCATATACCCTGATTCGCCGAGGCTAATACAGTGACATTCAGTTGAACATTTGTTGAAAACAATCGTATAGAAAAACAAATTTCCTTCTAAAATCAATCCTATACTTTTACTTGAAAAAAAAAAACAAGTTGCTTTAAAGAATCTCCAAGGATATTAAAAATCATTTATGTGTATTTATTTTATGAGACAAGCGAGGTCGAGTTATTTCGTTTAAAACCTCTAGAAGTAACAAATTCTCCAACGGAATAGAACCTAATTATTCTGTTTAATTTCGGAATTGAATGTTTGTAAACCTTGTATACAGTTTGAAGGCTAGTTCTTGTATGTGAAAATCGAATTGTTCAGTCTATAAATGAGTAATTAACTACCTAAAAATATATAGAAATAACTATCTATTCATTATTTTACATTTATAATAAAATAATATTTAGATATCGTTCGAATAACAAATAAAACAAGATAAAATAGACACACTAAAAAAACACATAACTTTTTACTGAATGTGTACTCATTTATACAAGATATTACAACAGACGTTATTCACTTTAAGATGTCAGTTAACAATGTCCGTCATATGAATAGATATTAGTAGTACAAAAAAAAGAAAGAAGAACAGGAATCTAATGATAACCTAGTAACCTTTAATGTTTCATTTAAAACATAATGTGTGTCCTTTTTTAAATTGGATACAATAAATATAAATTAGAAAGAAAATAGTAAAAGTTACCAGAAAGAAAATTGGAACTTTTATTTAATTGAAATCTGAATTTTCATTCAATGTTTAAATCTTATAACTAACTGGTTTATTATCAAAACACAATTAGAGATATTCAAATATTCAAATGAATAACAACAGTTTACAGAATAATTCATTTTTATATGATGAAAATTAAATAAAATTTAACATAGTTTTATTTGTATATGAATGTGTAGTATCCATGGGGTAATTAAAACATTAAACCAGATTGTGAATATTCAACTCTAGGATAATAGAACAAAACTATATGGAACATTGATCGATATTCTTAGAACTGGTATCCATGTGTATTAAAGTTAAAGAAATCTCAATTTCTTTTTAGTCAATGTATGTTTGTTAAAAAGGGATAGGAATTGTTTGTTTTTTTTTATTTTTTTAAAGAAAGAAAACATAAATATGAAACTTGGAAAATAAATTTATAATTACAGATGATTTGAATGACAAAAAGAAAACAAATTCTGGTTTTAATTCAGCATAGAAACTATTATTTCTTGATTGTTATTAGTTGTTTGTTTGTTTAAACTTTAGTTTTCTTGTGTTATTTTCAATGTAAACTTTTGAATGGATGATTAAAATAAATTGATGAATGAATAATTTAATTAAATAATCAGTTATGAGAGATAATTAGCAAAATGTTTTCATTTGAAAAAGAAAAAAGAAAGAATAGAAAAATCATGAAGATTTTGAAATGAAAACAATGAAGACTCAAAAGTCAATATATTTCTATGACCGGATATACAAGTAAGTGGAAAAAGAAGTAAAATAAACAAGAACATCAACAACAACAACGACAGAATAAACGACGCATTTAATAAATACATATGCCTTTTGTTCTCTTCAATTATTTATAAGCTAATTTTCAGACGATAATAAAGTATCTATGAGTGATAAAAACAAGTAATAAATAATGCTTAGAAATAAAAAAATGGAAAAAAAATGGCGCTTTTATTTCCTTTAACGAATAATACAATTAATATGAATGAAGGTGTAGAAATGACACCGGCTTCAATTTTAATAATATACAATTATTAAAGGGAGTGTAGTTTTTAACTTAATTCTGATACTATTAAAGGATATGAAATAATAATAAACCACCACCACCATCACCACCACCAACAACAACAACAACAAATGCTACAAACTATACTGACTAGTTCGCAAAAACATAAGACTTTATCATTGATAACTCACAGCAACAAAAAAATGTGAAATTGAAAGAAAGTAAATAAGAATTAGAAGGATGATTTCATTTTTCACCAGTTTTCATCAATATATCAACAACAACAACAACAACAAATGATTGTGATCATAAATGATATACTGTATTATCACATTTTTATTGAAATAACTATACAATATATTTTTAATTAGATGAATCAAATGGTGTACAATCTGTATCCATAGTTGACATATTACAGACAACTAGATTATTACTTATAGGATCAGCATTTACAAATAATTGATTAAAATGACCGAGATGAGTTGATGATGACGATGATAATAATAAGGATGGAGATGGTGATGATGATGTCGATGATGATGACGATGATGATGATGATGTGTATGTTGGTTCTTCAAAAACTGATTGTAAGAAAGAACTGTACAATGAACTAGATGAATGAAATGGATTAATATATGTATGAAGAGAATTCGGTACGGGGAAATTGTATACTTCTCTTTCTTTTAAATTCTGATAACTACTGACTGTAGACGTTGTCGTTGTAGTTGTTGCAGAAGCTGTCACTGAAGCTATTGTGGATGAATGTAAATTGTTCATTTTATTTATTTGTTCAACATCTCTTTGATTTATTTGATGAACTCTATTTGAAGTTGAGGTTAAATGATAAGATGAATAAGGAGTTTGTTCAGATGTTGTTGTTGTTGTTATGGATGTTGTATTGAATGAATTCATCAAAAATGATTGAGATGAAGTTAACGAAATGAATAGTGGATTAGTATTTATATGATTTATATTTTCCAATTGTGTTGTATTATTCTGAAAATTTGTATAACAACAGTTTAATTCAGAATTACAATTTCCTTGAATATTTGTTCGATTATTATGATCTATTTCAATTAAATTATCCCTATTACTAGAATGATTAATGTTAATCAAACGATTAGATTGAATATATGAATTTTGTGAATGATTTGAATTAAGATATTCAGAATAATTATCATCTGTTGTCCAAGATAATTTAGAGTGTTGTTTTGCAGAAGTTTTTGTAGACATAATTGAGGATAATGAAGATTGATTTATTTGAAATGAATTTATTGTTGGTTGACAACAGTTAGGATATTCTTGATAATAGTTTATTGAATCATTAAATCTTGATGTTACACATAAACTATTTGATGAATTATGTGTTCTCATAGCTTCTGTTAATGATGTCGATGTCAGTGTTGACGATGATGATGATGTTAATACAGATTTATTTAACCAATTAGGAATTTGATTTCCTATAGACTGTTGATTAGTATAATATGGATGTGACCAATAATGATGATTATCATTACCATTATTTGCATTAGTAGACCATGTTCCATTTACATGACATCGATCATCAGTAATAGAATGTCTCTTCAAAATCATATTACTATTCATATCACATTGATTATTATTATTTATAGAAGAAAGACATATATTGTATGGATGCTTTGGATTAGTTTGGTTTATAGTATTATTCATTTCATTAACATGATTGTTATTTCTAGTAGATAATGAAGTATGTGTATATCGTCTATGGTCAAATAAACGATTGTTCGTTATATTATTATGCGAAAATGTTTCAACAGAATGTGGACGATTTGAATTGAATGGTGATGAATTAGATGAACTTGAATGAACATAACTGTGAGGAGAAAAGCGCATTTCATCATTATTATGATTTGAACTTGACATAACTAAGTCAAGGTTATTTTGTGAATGACGTTGCTGCTGCTGATGATGATGATTATGATGAAAATGAGGATTATGGTGGTATTGATATGTTGAAATGGAAGGTGGAACAGGGAAAACAGTAGAAGAGAAACCATTTAATACAGTTGCTGGTGTATTTGAATAACACCCCGTCTCGGAATCGAATATTTCAGGATAAAACGTTTCACTTTGGTTGTTACACGGTGAACAATAACCATATGATTTATAATACTTTCTCCACATTATTGATATGTTATTATCATCTTCATTGAATACTTGTGAATTATTTGGATAATCATTAGTTAATTTGGATGAATTGTCACCTTGAGCAAATCTAGGTAATGTATTAACACAGATATTGCTACTAACATTACCACTGGCATTCTCTAAAACATTTATATTTGTATTGTTTAATCCTGTACCGGTACAATTACAACCACTACCAGCGTTTGATGAAGTCATTGAACCAATTCCACTGCTTACTTGAGAATTTGTTGCACTAAGTTGTTCTGAATCTAATTGAGAGGATATATTCCCATCTACCAATTGATCATGATAATTTCGATGATAACAACAAGTAGATTGTGAATGGTCTCTTTTTTGTTGCTTTTGTATACAAGTACATGAAGAATGTAATAAATTATCATTCTTATGAGTTATTTGTGGATTAAATGTTCTTTCATATGAACAACCAGTAGAATTTGAATCTGTTCTTGGTGTTCCAAATAAAGAGGATCGATCAATAGAGCCAAGGTCACTTTTAATATTTTCATTATTAACAAATGCTTCATCATTATCCATAGTACTAACATTATCTTGGTTTGAATAGTTATTGTCTGAATTTATGGACTTTGTTCGGTTTTGATGTTGATGAGAGTGTTTCGGTTGCTGTTGTTGGTGATGATGATTCTGGGCGGTGGGATTACTGTTATCTGACGCTGTGGTAGTTGTTACACCTGACCCAATACCGGATGATGCAGCCGCACTCTCTGAATCCCAAATATCTACAATAAATTTAGAAAATCATAATTAAATACCATATCATTATTGAAAGGATTTCCATTAACAGTAGGATTCAAGACAGTAGCTAACTTAAGTGATTAACTTAATAACTTGGATGTGGTTTCATTTCAAATAGCTTTACATGATCTGCGTATGCAACTAGTATGATCACATCATGTGTCTTTCATTCTCACAGTTATTCATCAGCCGTACAACATTAATACAAGGTTATTAGTAAAGATTAATAACTTAGTCAGTGAAAATTGTTTGATAGATAGCGACTAAATGACAATCTATTACGTAGTAGTAGTTATTAACATAATAAAAAAGTTATATCGTTTACTTCACACAGTCTATTCAACATTTGGGCAACATATTTTCCAAGTCTACAAATATTTTGATAAACTTTCGTGCTTCGGATCCATTTGAACAGACTAATTATAAATCCTAACTTTTTGTAACAAGAGGAGTATTATGAAAGACTTGCAGCCTGCTGCGATATTAAAGTATTGTAAATCTCAAATAAAAGCATTGAGATTGTTGAAATATTCTCCTATTTGTATGCCGTTTGAAAAAAACGACAGGCGATTACACTGGATTTCATGCATCCAATTACTGATGAGTTAAAAAAATGGTTGTAGCATTTAAACTGACAAAAAAATCTCAGCTAGCAACAAGTAGCGGTAAATACTGACCATTGAAAAATCATTCTGTAGGATATACGTTTTGAATAATTGCGATTTGAGTGTATATTGAAGAGAAATTTATTACAGTACTGTACAATGACCCTAACAATTCCTTACTGTAACGAAACTTATAATAATGAATAGTAACGTAAGTTATTATTACTATTATTATGATGATTTCGTTCCATTTATATACAGTCTGTCCAATATGTATTAAAACTGAACTCATAGGAACTTTGTAAAATGTAGATTGTATCAATCTTAACCCCCTCAAAGTACTTCCCATTTGTAGTATACTTATACAATATCCATTTCCATTATTCGGGATACTATTGGATGTACTTAAAAGTCAGGCTCTTCAATTCCCTCGTCATTTAGAAATTTTCGCACAGAAATTTATTGACTTGTACTATTTTGCTAAAATATTAAGATCAGATCATTGTCCTGGATTCGATTCTGTGGCAGTCATTTGGACACTAAATTAGCGATTGAAAAACATAGGAGACCTCATTTGTGGATTATTTTCATTCAAGAAGAAGCTCAATGGTTGTATTCCATTATACTCTTAGTCCTTATGAGCATCACTGAAACATATGATTCGTTTAGAAAAGCTTATTTATCCAACGTGTTATCTACATAAACAGATTTCAACGTTTTATGAATTTCCCGGAAATTTCCCAGTTTGCTCAAAGAAAACCAAACCTAGTAGTTGGATTTAGATGTGAATTGAACATATATATGTTCTCTAGCTGTATGTCGCAAAACATCATTTGTGTAACGCTATCCAATAGGTTGTTTTCTTTTAAAATTTTGTATCAGAATAAAGGAATTCCAAGTAATTAAGCCCAGAAACCCTAATAATTTTAAAGTCATACGTTTCATAATTGGCATACAAATAAACTTTAAATCAGTCAACATGTATCTGGTAAGTTTACTGTAATTATCCACCTCGTACAGTTAAAATCTTGGTGAGACTATAATTTGTGGACGACCTTTGAGTGACGCTAGAGTGACCTTGACAATGTCCACTTAATAACTAAGACCAAATGAGGATTATAAACCAGTGTGGGGAATTAAAATTATGATTTACAGTTGATGTTTGAGGTTAGGAATTAGATTTACAGTTTTTCACCACGAACTGACATCCGCTAAAATGCTAAGATGCTATTTGGACGAATAGGTGAGTGAATTTCGCGCCAAAATCCAAGACCTATTCTCCTAAACCTATTTGGTGCGTCTCTAAATTATAATCTCGCTAAAATCTTTATTATCAAGAGATGTATACAAATATAAACCTGCAAATAATAATAGAAAATAAACCAATTAACTTAAACAGTACATTAATTAAAGGTTCATTCAATCAAAAAAAATCATAAGGGGTTTTGTGGAGATTTTAGAAATTTCACTGATTGAAATCATGAGTCAATTGAAGCTAGATCACCGTGGAAAACCTGGAAGCACTGGACGGCCATTTCGTCCTAGTATGGGACTCCTCAGTAGTGCACATCCACGATCCCGCACCCCACGAGGTTTGAACCCAGGACCTATCAGTCTCGCGCCAGGTGCTTAACCAACTAGCCCATTGAGCCGGCATCCAATGGTGGTAATGTCTAACTTCAACCAATCCATGAAGTTGCGCTACCGTACTAGGACAAAACGGCTGTTCAGTGCTTCCAGGTTTTCCATGGTGGTCTAGCTTCAATGGACTCATGATTTCAATCAGCAAAAAGAAATATCAAAAATAATTAAAATGAAAGGTAATTACCATTCGGTGAACAAATATCTTGTATTGATCTTAATCGAGTTGAACATTCTATTAAACATAATTGAGATTTCTGCTCTGTCACATCTTCCGTATAAGGATTATTTAATGGTATATTTGAAATACATTCATTTTGATTTGATTGAGGAGAAGTTTCTTCATTTAATTCATTATTATTACCATTATTGTTTATTTGACTACTATTATCCGGATTTTTTGAGTAAGCTAATGTATCTTCAATTTTCCATTTTAAAGGGAAATTAAATTGTAAATTATTTTCACGATATGTTTCATTAAAATTAGTTGAGATCTCATTGAAATGATCATTATTCGATGATCTGTTTAATTGATTCATTGTTTGATCATTTAGATTTAATGTAAATTGTGTATTTGATTGAGATTCTAATGATGTTGATAAATATTCAGGTAATGGCTTAAATAGAAATAAAGTGTATAATTAAAGTATAATGTTTATAGTAAATTAATTTTCAATGAGATTTCATTCATATATTATAGTTTTAAAGATGTAGATTATACCGGAAGTAACCTTAGGAGGGCTTCAGGCGGAGTTGAGAAAAGCACCCAACCGTATCGCAAGGCAAGCCCTTACTTGGAATCCTCAAGACCAAAGGAGGGGAGGAAGACCGAAGAAGACATTACACGGAGAAATGGAGACAGATATAAAAAGAATAAACAAAAATTGGATAGAACTATAAAGGAAGGTCAAGGACAGAGTGGGTTGGAGAATGGTGATTGGTAGCCAATACTCCGTTGGGAGTAACAGGTGTAAGTAAGTAAGTAAGATATTCATGTTGATTATAATCTATAAATTAACTCTTCCTGTTTACTAATTACTTTATGAATTCACTATTATCAAAACATGATTTCATGAGTTCAGATTTCTATGCAAATATCAATTTAGTTGAGATTAAGCAAAACCTCTTCCTGTTAATTATAACCAAATGTAGAAGCTTTAGGAACTGTTAACTTAATGTAAGTTTATTTAATAGACAAATCTGAGGGAAATCATAATACCATCATAATTTATTTATATACATATATATGCCCAAAAATGTATCCAACAGTTACCGTGTACTTGAAATCGTACAACTCATAACGAAACTTCTAGTTTATCCTATCTGTTCTATCTGTTTATTTCAATGTCCAATTCATCCAAGATATATTTTCTTTCTTAACTGTTAAAAAATCACAATGAACCAAATTGATAGATTTTTTTAGTAACACTTTAACTGATGCGTCTATCGGTTAAGTAATTCGATATTGAAATGGATCAGTTACTCTTTAAAATTGAATAATTAAAGTGTGACATGCTACCAAGAAGATGTATAGTATCAGAAGGGGTTTTGTAAAGGTTGTAGCAATTTCGATAGTTGAGATCATGAGTCAATTGAAGTTAGATCACCATGGAAAACGTGGAATCACTGGACGACCGTTTCGTCCTACTGTGAAAAGCAGTAACCGGTGGAATTCAATCGGGTCTATTGTGAGATAGTAACTCACTGAAGACAATAGTGGATGTGTCACTCAATTTCATGGATTGGTTGATGTTAGACATTAACACCGTTGGATATCGGCTCATTAGTCTAATGGTTAAGCGCTCGCGCGCGAGACTGATAGATTCTGGGATCGCATCTCGTGAGGCGGAATCGTGGATGAGCACTGCTGAGGAGTCGCACAATGAGACGAAACAGCCGTCTAGTGCTTCCAGGTTTTTCTTTGTGATCTAGTTTCAATTGACTCATGATCTCAACTATTGAAATGTATAATAATTTAATAATAATTTAAATGTGTATGTGGTCACACATACATAGGGAAGAATAATCGTGATCTCAACATTAGGGTGAGTGAACATGTACCCAAATGGCTTCAGAAACAAATACAATCAAGTGACCCGATAAGAGCAGAGGATAAACATCCATCATCCTCTATTGCTAAACATATAATTGAAACAGGTCACAAGATTGATCTAAATTCAGCTTTTGTAGTGCTGTATAAAAGTGTAGAAGGGCGTATACTAAGGTTCATTGAAGCCTTAGCCATACGAAAATTCAAACCCCCTTTATGTGTTCAAAAACAGTTTGTTCTTACCTTAAACCTACCCTGGTAATATTGACTTATTATCCAGAGTGATTAGGTTTCAAATTGTGTTCACATTATTATTATTATTACTCTTATCATTATCCTTATCTCCTCTTACCCCGTTTCCTGTCTAGTTGACCTTTTATTTTTATATATAAATGCTCTTAACAAGTATATGTGTGACCAGATTGTTCGAAATGTATTGCGCTAATATATCACGTAGTTCTGATAATCTTCGTCTTCTAATATCATTATCGAAATAATTTAATAGTTGAATTCGCGAGTCAGATGGAGCTAGACGACCATAGAAAACCTGGAAGCACTAAACGACGGTTTTGTTTTATTGTAGGACTTCTCAACAGTGCGCATCTACGATCCTGCCTCACGAGATTCAAACCCAGGACTTATCGGCCTCGCGGACGAAACGGTCGTCCAGTGTTTCCAGGTTTTCCATTATTGTCTAGCTCCGACTGAATCATGAATTTAATTATTAAATTACCATAATATTCACAAAAACCCTTCTCAGATGTATAAGAATCTCTTAAAATAATTACTGAAGAGTATAGACATCACAATTTTTTAAATCACATACTGAATCCATTCAATTTATCTTTATACATTTATGATGGGAAATACTAGTTTAGCAGTAAATAAACATACCTTTTTCATATCTTGGTTATCAAATTGTAAAATGGAATGCTTTTTATTATAATGATCTTTATTTATTTCATCAGTTGACGGTTGTGAATATTTCCAATTCCATATTAAATTATTATCTTCAGTTTTTAATGATTTTTTGAAATCTTTTACCAAATCATCTGATGTTCCATAAGTACATACTGGTATGGATTGATCAGAATTTTCATTACTTATCATAGTCACTGATTCGTTAATAGTTGTGATAAGATTTTTCTGTTTCATACTTGTTAAGTTATTTGAATTGTCTATTGATAATGATAATGATTGAATAGGATTTGATATGGTCGATAAAGATTGTAATGTAATAGATGGACTAACTTTTTGATTTAAATATAAGTTATCACATGGTGATGGTGTTGTCGGTGATGTCCAAGATAAAGCCAAATTATTATTGTTATTATTATGATCATTTTGATTTGTGTCTTCAGTATGAAACATATTTCGCGCAAAATTAAAATAATTTGGATAAATGGAATGTTCACATTTCAAACTAGGGAAATAATCATTTCTTGTATTGTATACTGCTGGTGATGATGTCATCATTAAAACATTAGAGTGTACATTTTGATTATCAGTTTCAGGTAAATACCAATTCATATTATGTGAAGTATTTCTACCAAACTCTTCTATACTGGATCTTTTCAACTTCGATAAATCTTGATTAGGATATTCTGTGATAATGCTTTCGCTATTGATATCTACAGGATGTATTGAAGTTGTATGAACTGGATTAGTAAGACAAGCTAAACAACCATCTCTTGGATTTGACGATGAAGATGGGCGTTGCTCTCGGTCTATAAAGGCTCCACGATGAAATATGTTGCCGTTATCATTCATTCCGCGAGGACCAAATCTTCCACGTGTGCCAGGCATTGAACCATTGGATCGTTTATCTTGAGAAGGATAACTATTGTTATTATTACCTGGATTACTATTGCCAAATAGATGCCCCCCACCATATCCAGATCCACCACAAGGTCGATCACTCCAACTTTCACCTTTATGCTTTTTATTTGCATAAACCTACCAAAAGAAAACAAAAATCAAAATTTCCATTTGTACATACTATTCCTAATCCAATGACTAATAGTTGAAATAATTTACTATCTCAATTGGATTTAATTTTAAAGAATTTACTTCATAATCCATTCTTAGCATTATTCTATTCATTTTACTTTAGTACAATAAGTACTGGAATATCTATCCAAAATTGAATGTTTGTTGGTTCGTATCGCTCGTTTGGTTATCCATATTTGATTACACTGTCTTTCATTAACATATTCATACCAAGACTATAATTCTTCTGGAAGCTCCTAGATAAAGTGTATTAGAGTGAACAGTTATACTGGATAACGTTTTCATCAGGTTCTACAGATATAAATACAAAATTACTATTGTTCTTTAATAGATACGTGTTTATGTTTATAACTTTCCACATAATAGACTTTCTCGCTATGTATACAGGTCTTTCATACACATAGTTCCTTTTATCATTTTGAAAAGAGCAAGAATGAAGATTCTGGCAGAATAGTATGAATTCATTTTATTTCGTTGGTTCTCGTCAGCTCCTTACAACCTGTGATATTTAAAAGTCATAATTACATAATGAGTTTAAATTACTTACATGAGAGGGTTTGGTTGGAAGTTATATTGAAAACATATTCATAGGATCACAATTGATTGATCACTGGGTGGCGATCAGTGTCATGCGTGTCTAGTCCTTATTAGTGCAGATCGAATGCTATCGATCATGTTGCGATGTGGCCACCAGTCTAGGTGACTCGACACCGCGGGCATTATGTATTGAGATTTAGATGGTGGTTGGAGGTAGTCAACAGGAAACCCTGGACCCGGGTTTCGTGCTACTTGGCACTCGTCAGCAAGGTGTACCTGTAATCTTGAGGAAACTGGTGCTCCCTGGCGGATTCGATCTCGTGTCACCCAGCTTCACAGTCAGAGACCACAGGGGCCACATTGCAACATGATCGATAGCATTCGATCTGCACTAATAAGGACTAGACAAGCATGACATTGATCACCACCCAGTGATCAATCAATTGTGATTACATCTCTGTCCTACAGGAGGTTAGTCAAGGCTCGGATAGCTCAGTGGTAACGTCTCTGACTGTGAAGCTGGGTGACACGAGATCGAATCCGCCAGGGAGCACCAGTTTCCTCAAGATTACAGGTACACCTTGCTGACGAGTGCCAAGTAGCACGAAACCCGGGTCCAGGGTTTCCTGTCGAATACTTCCAACTACCATCTAATCTCAACATATTCATATAGTATAACAAGGGTGTAAATAAAATTAATAGACTGAATATTGTAAACATCATACCTTATGTGAAAGAACATTCTACAATAGTGATTGTGACAACAGTTCAAAGGGCCAGAAACAAATGAATACAGTTAAAGTAAACACTGATAGGAACAAAGTGAGTAGAGTTCAGTTGATAAAATAAGATTATTTATTTAGAAGCTAGTTGAAATAAAACTCACTGATGTAATAAATGCAAGAAAGAGTTTAAAGAAAAGTTTTTTTAAGATGAAGCTAAGGGATATTTGTCACCAAGGCAAAGAAAACTTAATAACCATCTCCTTTTGAACACATAAGTCAAATTTCTGACGCCTGATGGCAGCGGCTTCAGCAAACTTCAGAAGATGGGAGTTTGGCTGCTTACTAATCACCTTGAAGGATTGCAAGGTATCGACCTGATGTCCTATATCAAGGAGATGTTTGGTGATTGCACTGTTCAGAGTCTTTATTTCTCTTATTTTGATACTTTTTGGAACATGTTCGAAAAATCTAAGATATGCCCTCCTTTCTGCTCGGCAAATGTAGCTGCTTTGACAAGTACATGTAAATTTATAAATACAGTTGACGGTAACATGAAACGGGTGCTCGTCAACCTTTGATTGAGTTATTGAATATGTTGTTTTATAGATCAATGCACTTTTCTTCATTTTGATCCCTTTAGTCTACTACAAATTATCTAAAACTGAAAATGTGAACCGTTAGATCTTTTAATATATTGGCTCAATGGTTTTGTACTCATTAGATTCTGTAATAGTGAGTATGTATTATGAAGAAAGATTTTGTTTCTCGAGATTATTTAGAAAAAGTATATTCAGTCTAAAATAAAATTCAAGATCTATTCTCGTTTTGATATTAAAAACGTAAAACAATCCATTTCATGTTTGCTAAGATATTTCAATCATACATCATAGATTGAACAGACTGAATATTGTAAATAGATACCCTATATAAAAGAACACTCTACAACATTGATTGTGACAACAGTCCAAAGGGACAGAAACATACATAATCGAAATAATACTTTTTAATGCTTATTCTAATTGTTATCATTTTATCACATATAACCTACTTCAGCACCATGAACAGTTTTCACATGTTTTCGTAGAGAACTTGGATCTGTGTATCGTTTTGAACAACCATCAACTTTACATGTATAAGGTTTTTCATTACTATGCGTTCTATTCTGATGTTTAGCTCTGTCTGATGCATTACTAAATGCTTTATTACAACCGGGAATTTCACATTGATAAGGTTTTTCTCCAGTATGTGATCGAAGATGAGTTTTTAAATTTTCCAAACGAGAATAACGCTTCGTACAACCTTCAAACTAAAAATGAAATAGAGTTGGTCAATATTATTGAGAACTAATTAATTGAAATATTGATAAAGATGACGTTGATTATATACTGGGATCATAAACCACACGACTGAAAGACAATGTTATCTATGATTGCCCAAAATGTAATTATTGTGAAGGTTTGTGGAGATTGTTGAGTTCCTTAGTTTACATCACCAGTCAGTACCTCCTGGTTTTAAAAGGTTATCTATCTTTGGTCAGTTCACGATATAAGCTATGAAGAGAAAAAATGTTGTTAGTGTCACAATCAACCAAATCACACTTGATGGACGAGCTCTCGAAGAGGCGAAAACGTTTACGTATCTGGCGGCATTATTGATAAACAAGAGGGATCTGATGCATATATGAAGTTGCGGGTTGGCATAGCAGAGACAACATTCCTGAAAATGATGAAAATCTGGAACCCAGAACAATTATCCGCCAACATCAAAGCCATAGTTTTAAAAAAGAACATCAAAACAGTTCTGTTGTCTGGAGCTGAGACTTGGAGAACTACTACAACCATCGTCAACACAGTGCAAGTATTTATAAACAGTTGTCCATTCAAGAAACTCTAGATCCTTTAGCCAGGAATCATTAATAATAACGTATTGTTACAGAAACTAAACCAACTTCCAGATAAAAAGAAAATCAAGAAAATACTCTGGAAGTGAATAGGGCATACACTGTGTAAATCCTCAAACTGGATAACTAGACAAGCTTTAACTCGAAACCCTCAAATGAATAGGAGAAGTAAAATACCAAAGGACATGCTGTGTCAGGAAATGGAGGGAGATGTCAAAAGAATGGATAGCATTTGGCGACAATTGGAAAGGGAATCTCAAGCGAGAGTAGGTCGGAGATTCTTGGTCGACGGTCTATGGTTTACGAGAGGTTAAATGCTCAAGTAAGTAAGTAAGTAATCTTCATAACAATATCTAGTTGAGAATGCGGAAAGGTGGGCAGTTTTAATGAAAAAGTGGAAATACTTTGGAACGTTTTAAGTTTTCTCACTCAATAGTTACTCCTAATAAGAGCACCTTAAGAATAATATTAGTAAGTGAATAAATAGAACAAATTTATGAAATCCCAAATTTTCAGCATTTTGCCTTATGTGTTTTGTTGTCGTTTTCATATAAAGTTTTTGGAATTTCACATAATTACTCTACTTATAGTAGTTCTTATCACACCCTTACAAAGTCTATTTTTGTCTGACTATTAATTATGTCATCCCAACTTAATCATTTTTATGATGACTGTCCAATGTACTTTGTCATCTAAGACCTTGTCAACTATATCATGTGCACTTTTACGCGCGGCTGCATTAGATGTGTCCATTATTCCTAGTCTTATTGGATATCAGCAAACTATATATATTATTCATCCAATGTAAAGAATAACTGACTAACTGCTGATTGAATAAGGGCGTTTGCCTTTTCCGATTCGTATCTCTCATCGTCTGTATGTATTAAAGGATATCCGAAATACTTATAGCTAAAATCATTTTCGTATTCGACTTCTGATATTCTACTTTTCAAAACGTGTTAAGTCGGCAAAATATGTACGAAGTTAAGTGGAACATATATCTCACTAACATCGTTAGGGTCGATATCGACCATTTACTAGAAAGTGAACAACGAACACCTGATACTCGTGAAATAATTTAAACTTAAGATAAACCTTGAAACCAGTAAATAATTTTACAACATCTCAGATATGTATTCCTGATGTAAGTTAACAAACAAGGAGCCTAGCTCTGATTCCACCATTTACAAATGCTTTTGTTCAGTAAGCATAGATTCGACTGCAATTCGAGACGGAGTCATTTAATTTGGTCAACAGAAATAATTCAATAACAAACATTAAATACGAATAAAGGGGATACCTTATGGTGATTTATATGAACAGTTGCAGGGTTATTTAAAAGTTTTGTGATACTTTTAATCACACATAAACCAGCGAAACAGTTCAATACTATGCGTACAGGAATAGACTAAAACAAAAATCTTTTGATACTTACTATACATTTATGTGGTTTTTCGCCTGTATGTCTACGCATATGTACAACAAGCATATATTGAGCCTTGAATGGTCTAGTTCCACGAACACATTCTCGCCATAAACAAACGAAACTTTTTTTATTTCCTGCAATATGCTCAGTACTAAGATGCTAAAATAAAACAGAAATGTTTTTAATCATAATTTTTACCTACTAAAAAGTAGTATAACTTTTTATAGAAAATTATAAAGGAAATCGATAGTTTTGGTTAAATAATCAACATGAAAACTATCAGACTTCAAAATTATATTTAACATGAGCATTATTTGAATTCATATATATTACTTCGTTAATCACTCCATATCAAACCGGATACGTTTTGCAACTTTCAGGAACCTCATGTTGATCTAGTTGAAAAGAATATTCATATCATGAGATTTCATGGTTTGCTAGGTTGGACAGGAATGATTATCTATACCGATACTTGGGAGGGGGGAAAATCAGATACATTTGAAAGCTGTTTGATTTATTGAAAAACTTGAACATTAAGAATATAAATTGAAATAAAATTGTTTTGTGACCAAGTTAACTAATTAGATCACAATGTGACCATCAAAGTGTTTGTATTATAACAATGACATAACATTAAAACAAATAGTTAGACTACACAATAAGATCAAAAAAATTAATACCGGTTAGAAAATAGTGAAAAATACAGACTGTCAATGAATAGCTGTCCCGCACTAGACATGGACTGAACTTTGGTGGTCACAGTTTCTCAGTAGGATTCCAGAAGTTACATTTTGAAGACAGTTACTAGAGAGCATATGTTGATTAATATCAGAAGGCGTTTTTGTATATATAATGGTAATGTTTTTAGTAACCTTTTAACTGATGCTTCTATCAGTTAAGTAATTCGATATTGAAATGGATCAGTTACTCTTTAAAATTGAATAATTAAAGTGTGACATGCTACCAAGCAGATGTATAATATCAGAAGGGGTTTTGTAAAGGTTGTAGCAATTTCGATAGTTGAGATCATGAGTCAATTGAAGTTAGATCACCATGGAAAACGTGGAATCACTGGACGACCGTTTCGTCCTACTGTGAAAAGCAGTAACCGGTGGAATTCAATTGAGTCTATTGTGAGATAGTAACTCACTGAAGACAATAGTGGATGTGTCACTCAATTTCATGGATTGGTTGATGTTAGACATTAACACCGTTGGATATCGGCTCATTAGTCTAATGGTTAAGCGCTCGCGTGAGAGACTGATAGATTCTGGGATTGAATCTCGTGAGGCGGAATCGTGGATGAGCACTGCTGAGGAGTCGCACAATGAGACGAAACAGCCGTCTAGTGCTTCCAGGTTTTTCTTTGTGATCTAGCTCCAATTAACTTATGATCTCAACCATTGCGATTTTTATATATCAAACAATTATGTTAACTGATCAACCGATATTATCTTCATGTAATGATTCAAATTAACTGTCTTAAGATTTTATGAAGACTAGAATGATTGTCATAATTCTAGAAAAATGGTTTTGGATTATCTTCACCCAAATATATTCTGAGCTTAAGAAACACAAAAAGAAAATCCACTTTCCTCTTTCAAACGCTTCGAAAATGTACCATGATATGAAAGATATTGAATGAAAAAGTTCCTTAAATAAAATACTCTTTATAACAGATCATTTTATATCTTAGAATAGCTATTTCAATTAATTAAAATGAACAGTTGTTCAGAAACAAATTATACAAAATAACGAAGCTTGGATCAATGTTTTAACATAAGATGTTGGTTGAAACTTAAAAAGATAGACATTATAATAATAATGATTAAAATTACAAATAAGAAGTATTGAAATAATTAGATCCTGTACAACCCATACGAAAGAGAGTGAGGTAGAAAAACGGTGGGACTATAATTTATGGACGACCTTTGAGTGACGCCAGACTTACCTTGAGAGTGTCTACCTAACGACTAGAACCAAATGAGGGTTATAAACCAATGTGGGGAATTATAATTATGATTTACAGTTGATGTTTGAGGTTAGGAATTAGATTTAGGGTTTTGATAACGAACTGATATCAGCTATAATGCCAAAACTCTATTTAGCCAAATGGATGAGTGAATTTCGCGCCAAAATCCGAAATCTATTATCTTATACCTCATTGGGTCGTCCATAAATTATAGTATCGCCAAATCTCTTTTTATACTTCACCAATCTAAAGAACTGCTAAGGAGGCTATAAATGTCTTCTAGACACATAGCCTAAGGTTTTTAATCCGATTTTGTAGCTCCTGCTATATGTAGGAGAAGTGAACTCCTTTCGGAAGCGATGTTTATATATCCAAGTTTTAATCTACTTTCTATGTTTAAATATTGAAACAAGCTTCCATTATTATGATCATCAATAATTCATCTGTCATTTTACTGCAAACTTGCACATTTTAGTGATTATGTTTGGTTATGTTATCTATTACAATTTCATAACTGACTCGTATACTGCTTTGATGTTTCTTATATTTCTCTTCCACACATATATATATATTACTACTGTTTATCAAAGTTTGATGAAGATTCAACTAAAAAACAATACAGTTAGCTTATATGTATATACAACTTACTTTTACTAATTCATCTTGATCATCAAACTGTAATGTACAATCACCCCATCGACATGTTGTTTCAACGAAATCTGGATCACCTTCTTGTGGTACACGTCCATCATCATCTAGTTCTTCATCTTCATCTACATCTGGTTCATCAACTGAACAATGTCCAACTCCACTATTAATATTATTATTACTAGAATCACGTGTTGAATTCTTACGACTATTAAATACATTCTGATTTTGCCATTTATGTGAATGTTCAGTTGTTTTTTGTTTAAATACTCCTGTAGTAGTTGATGTTGCAGCTGTTGTTGATAATGATGATGCAACTACTGATGTCTCCGTTATCGATGTGGTTATTCCTGGAGTTATTGTCTCTAATACTGGTGTTGTACGACAAGTACGACTAAAATTTTTAATACTACGCATTTGATTCAATGTACCATCAATTTGTTTTCTTTGAGAAGACTGTTGACTTGATAAACTATTGTTATTAGAGTTATTTAATGCACAATGTTGTTTTAATAAGTCTTTTGTTAATGTTGGACATAAAAGATTATTACTTTTACCAAATAAATGATGATGATTATTAGTAGTATTTTCATTCATTAATAATTTGGACATTTCACTTTTGGATAATACCGTTGAATTTAAATCGATTTGTCCAATTTTTACTCGTCCATTTCTTCGAAATGTTTCATTTGAATTGTTTTGACATCTTATAGTATTATTAGTATTATTGTTATTATGATTAAGCCATGTATGTGACCAGTCAGGTGTAGGTATTGACTCAAATGGCCAATGTAAAGGATTTGTAAATGATGAAGGCATATTACTACAATTATTGACGTCGTTATCATTATTCAAAGCAGTAGTAGATTTATTACTTAAATTGTTATGAGTTAACTGATTGTAAATTGTAGAAGAATAATTAGAAGATAATTGAAAATGTGAAGGAGTAGAGGGTATGGTCTTTCTCAATACTCCTTGTTGGATATTTTCATTATTAGTTGCATCCATACAAGTATCATTAGCATTAGTATCGTTATTATAACACTGTAACTTATTTAAAGATATATTTCGATTGTCTGTTGAGAGATTATTAGTACTACTCTTATCATTGTCAGTAGTAGTAGCAGAACTTTTATTGGTAACAGAGGAAGTTGGTTTCATAAAGCATGAAGGAACTAGATTATTATACATAGAATTGATTGATTCATTTACTTTATTATTGTTATTGCCAATGGTAAGTGTCGATGAACAGGACTCACATTCACTTGATGGATGCTGATGCAAGCTATGATTTCTACATTCACGATGAAAAGTATTCTCCAATACATGTTTATTCAATAAAGATGAATTTTCTCTCTCTGTTATATTAGAGGTTGTGGAAGAGGCTGCCGCAGCTGCGACTGCAACTGCAGCGAAGGCCATTGCTGACTGTAAAACATTATTAGTACAATTTTTTGTTATTTCTGATGAAGATGCTGTAACACTGTTGGTAGATAATCCTAATGTTCTACATGATGGTAATATCATATTAGGAGAATTAGTTGTCAGTTTCTTCGGAACATCTATTGAACAATTGAACAGAGAATTAGGATCCGATTGTTGTTGCAATTGTTTATTTAATGAATTTGATGAAGACAAAACCGCAAGATGTCCAAAAGGTGCACGATTTAAACAACCAGTTGAACGATTACCACTACTACCACTTGTAGATGTATATCCGGAATGTTGTTGACATGTTTGTGAAGTTGACGGTAACGGTAAAGATTTATGTGAAGACGTTTGATAATTATCAAACCCACTACCTGTTGAGTGTGGCGAATTAGGTGACCAAAATGGTGATCTCTCACTAAATGGAGCCGGTGGAGCAGTGTGTGAAGAGTTGCCATTACTGCTTAGTGTACGACGAATATCACATGAAGCGCCAGGACTTGCACCAAGTGAAGCTTTAATGATGGAAATGAAATAAAGAAAATAATTTTTCCCTGAGACCAATTCTAATCATTATATTAAAAATCTAGGAAAAAATTAAAGTGATTTTAGAGGAAAACAATATATCAAATTAACTAAATAAAGCATAGAAGTACGGGTCAAATATGAATAATAGTAACAATCCTAAGTTATTATTGACTATTATCTTTCTTCAAATCTACATACTTTAAGTAACAATGAGCTAATAATCTTCGTGCAACTTGAAAAGACCTAAGGGATGATTTTAAAAGACATAACCAACTATGTTCAGTTTTCGTACATTGAGTCTAATTTTCCTAACTTTAAATTATCGTAAAGAATATAAACAACAATCACTAGCATGTAATCATGTTTAGCTTATCAGTCAAAAACGAGTTGAAACAAATATACAAGTTTCACTATCAAATACTTTCAAGACAATGTCGAAGGCGATTTCTTGAACTTGTAATGGTTTGGTTTCAGGATAATTCCTTAGGCTTCGTTTATCAGTCACCCGTTATTAAATAAACTTCAGCAGTGTACGAATTCAGAAGGCAATACGAAGCGGTAACTACAGTTTATTAGCGGATAGCACAGATAACCAAGTTACAAGGACACTGGGCGTATTGAAGCAGAGAGTCTAATGTGTGCGTGCAAGCAAATACGGAGGTGGATTTATGGTCAAATCGAGGCGAAGTGAAGTAAGACATAGCCAGGCAAGGCGAAGACGAAGGCAATTAATACGATTCGAAAAATATATGTATAAATATATATATATATATATATATATACTTGAATAGCCATAGTGTCTTATGAATCCTATTGGAGTACCATATGACCCAACAATTACCTCCTTTTTTGAATATTCACATACTGATAATTGCCTAAGATTCATAAAACATAATTCCAAAACCTCTTGATATTCATTTCTAAAATCTTAACATCAAATGTTCGATGATGAACGTCAGCATTTCAGTTGAATGCTTTTATAACATTTTCTGTTGTATAGTGATTCAATCAAAGAAATTACTTTCGGTATTTACAATAGTTTTCATGCTAGGTAATTGGATATATCCGGTTGGGAATCCTAGATATACGTTTCATGCCAGTTAGCCCTCATCAAAAAAGCATACCTGCAATCTTAAAAGAATCAGTGCCTCTAATTTGAGTGGGACATGCATCATCCAGTTTCACAGTGTGAGATGTTAGCACTGAAGTATTCAGGCCACGAATAATCTCCAGTTGAACTGAGAAGATTGCCTATTCAGTAGTGACTGATGCCATAATTTTATATTCTTTCCAATTACCTTCAACAATCTAATATCATAACTTTGCCCATACAATATCGTGTCATTCTGACTAGTGATCACACTGTAAATTAATAGGTAATCATTTGTACTTAAAAAGGTTAGATAAACATGATATTGGTCACCATCCTGGTTTATTTATCATTCTTTTGATGCCTACTAAACATCATAGGATGTTTATACGAATATTTGTCAAGATTAGAACGAATAGTTTGACAGTAATTGAGCGCCGAGTATAGAGAAACGTTGGAATTAGTTAAATTTCAATCGCTGAGACTATTTCAAATATAATTTTCACATATCATAGGATGTTGTTTAACTAGGGATTTATGAATGCCCGTGTCTTATGAACTGCTGATATAGATTTTTTACTGTTGTCTATCTAACTGTCGACTTATTAGATATACTACATTTTACATATATTCTTAAACATTATATCAAATTCTGCTATTCAGCGTTCCAATGTGATATAATAGTACTATTATAGCAACTTACCAGCAGATAAATGACCATATGAACCTTCAGCACTTGGTCCCATACTATGTGAACCACGTATAGATTGCATGATATTCAATGAACCTTGAGAACTTCTTGTTAAACTTGATATATCAAATAATTCATTTACAGATGATTGGGAATGGGAACGTTTCTTACCCCCACGTAACATTGGAGCTGTATGATTTGGGACGTATCCACTACTATGATGTCCACGATGCATAAACATTCCATAATTATTATATGTTGAATTTTGTGTGGTTGTATTACCGACATTTGAGTTCAAAACTAATGGTGGGGGTGGCAATGGATGTTGTAAACGAGAATTTAATGATGCATAATGTAATATATTCGATTGATGCATGAAACCAATTGAATTTGTACCAGAATTTCCTGTTCTCATGTTTTCGTTCCATACTGATTTCATTGTATTATCTGAATTAGTTAATGTTGATGAATTAGTAAACCATCTACGGACAGCATTGAATGCAACGGCTGCAACCATATTAGCATCTGGAGAAGAACATTCCACTTTGTTACTACTATTAGTGTTGTTAACATTTTTAGATCGTACAGAATCCAACAATTTTTCATTTGCAAATGGTGGCCTACAGTATGAACATGCAATTAAAAAAATTGTTTTGAATCAGATATTATTTCAAATTTATAGCTGATAAGCAAAGTCCAGTTGCTTAAATACTGACTATCTATTCAAATTAAATTCACTTGGTGTTGTTTTTACTAATATCTTCTCATTGTTATTTAGGACTACAATTGATCAGTCTCATGTTAGTATACGTACATCCTGTGCGGATTGCCTCGATATAGCCATAAGTCACAAGCCTTTTAGGCAAAGATAGGTAAGTGGATAACGCGATGGCGTTTGAATAAAATGGTACTGGGTTTGAGTCCCAGAGTGAACACCAACCCTGGGATGCAGGTATATCCAGCTGACGAGTCCCAAATACGACGAAACGCACTTCCTGGATTCCACTGCCAGCCACTATACATCATTAAATATCAAGTATTCAAAATAAATCAGAAGATTTCTAGATTCAATACATGCCATTGATTTCGTTATGTTCACTAATATAGAATGATTTACGTTTCAAAACTAAACTTCATTTTCATTTTAAACAACATCACCATTACTTGTATCCGGGACTACAATTTCAACAAAATATCAAAGATCAAATTTATTTAATTTTCCAACAAAACTATTCCATTCTTAATAGTTGAGATCATGAGTCAATTAAAGCTAGATCACCATGGAAAATCTTGAAGCACTGGACAGCCGTGTCATCCTGTTATGGGACTCCTGATCTGTGCACATCTACAATCCCGCGTCGCGGGATTCGAACCCAGAATCTATCGGTCTCGTAGACGAAATGACCGTCCAGTGCTTCCAGGTTTTACATGATAGTCTAGTTTTAATTGACTCATGATCTCAACTACTAAAATTACTATATCTACAAAACACCCCTTTTGATATTCCATTTTTGTTTTGACTATTATCAGTTTAACTTCAATGAGTGGAACAGAACTTTAGAAAACACCTTTTAACTGAAAGTTCTATAAAATAACTTAAAGTAAAAATACAATGAAAATTTTAATTTTTTGTAAATCCATATTCATATAATATTTCTCAAAGGTGTATAGAGAGGTGATTAAAAAGCTTCACCTTGTAAATTCAATATTAGAATTTGAAAGGAATCACTACAAGATTTTAGATCTGTGTTTTAAACTAACCAATATTTTCAGAAGGGGTTTGTGGAGACTTTAGAAATTTCACAGATTGAAATCATAAGTCAATTGAAGCTAGACCACCATGGAAAACCTGGAAGCACTGGGCAGCCGTTTCGTCCTATTGTGGGACTCCTCGGCAGTGACTGGTGAACCAGTGGAGTTCAACCAGACCTGCTGTGAGATATCAGGTCACTGAAGACACTTGTATACAGTGGCGCAACTTCGTGGATTGGTTGAAGTTAGACATTAACACCACTGGATGCCGGCCAGTTCAGTGGTCTAGTTGGGTAGGCGCCTGGCGCGAGACCGATAGGTCCTGGGTCTAAATCTCGTGGGGTGCGAGATCGTGGATGTGCACTGATGAGGAGTCCCATGCTAGGACGAAACGGTCGTCCAGTGCTCCCGGTTTTTCCATGGTGATCTAGCTTCAATTGACTCATGATTTTAACCAATATTTATCAACAAGGGGTGTTTTTAATGTCTAGAATGATGACGCTCTCTTGAAGTTTCATGTATATTTCAGTTAAATAGATTAAAACGGATCTGTTTATAATGTAAATCATCTTTTGTGCAAATTATTATTCATTTAAATAAAGCAACTGTTTAAAACAACTAATAGAGAGTTGATTGGTTCAATTTTATCAACTACTCATCAGTGCAAAATAAAAGTGAAGAAAAAACACTAGTGCAGAAAGATGAAAACTGAATAATCGACAGTAAAATGAATTGAGGTTGATCAAACTTGTCCGTATGATTTATACAAGTGATGTTATGTTTTCATTGTTAAATACTCTGAAAATTCTACTACTATACCTTATTACAGTGAAGGCAAGGATCGGCAAATCAAGGAAAGCATTCCTACAGTTGAACAAAAAGATACTGAATGTCCGTCAGCAACAGACTACTATGGGAGAGAACAAACTAGCTTCCAGCTGAATAGGAAATTATGAAAAGACGCTGGAGATGGATAGGAGATAGATTGAGGAAATCACCAAACTGAATCACAAGGCAAGCACTAACTTGGAATCTTGAAGGGAAACGGAAAAGTGGAAGATCAAAAAAACATTGCATCGAGAATTGGAAGCAGATACGAAAAGGATGAATGACAACTGGAAATAACCAGAAAGAATTGTCCAGTACAGAGTTGGATGGAGAATGCTGATGAGCGGCCTATGTTCTTCCACAAGAGGTGACAGGCGTAAGTAAGTAACTATGCCTTCTTTCAAATCCTTCTAATTAATAACCATTTTTATTATCTATTCTAATTAACCTGAAATAAATTGTTCATCTGTCTGTTGACTTGATGAATATTATTCAAATAATTTAACCTTTTGTTTATTACCAGATGGGTTTTGTGGATATTATAGTAATTTCAATGGTTAAGATCATGAGTCAATTGAAGCTAGACCACCATGGAAAACCTGGAAGCACTGGACGGCCGTTTCATCCTATTATGGGACTCCTCAGCAGTGCGCATCCACGACCTCACCTCCTGGGTTCGAATCTCACAATAGGCGAGGTCGTGGATGCTTTTTTATTGTTACATAAAACAAGAATCCCTAAAATCAATCAAAGAATTTATTCAGAAATTTTCACATTAACTTTTTCCATAGAATGACTGATGACAGTACTTTTGACATAAAATAATATTTTAAAAATATAACCAATGTTATATAATCTACCCCCTGCATACTAACAGAAGTTATTATGGTAACTAAATGTTGTAACTATAATAATGTATAAAGTATTATAGCAACTCACGTGCAATTGAGTTTGTTCTCATTTGACTCGGTTAAGCCCTTTTGTTAACTTATTTAGCGGACAAAGTCATCCGTACTATAACAACTTATTAGGCCTTTATTATTGTTGTGCTTGTATGAAATATGTATGCTTGGTTATTGCTTACCGCCTACACATGTATTCATTCTGCTAGCTTTATCATTAGCTGCTTAACTGATTCGATGATCCATTCATTTCCCCATATATATGTATACATGTACATCTACACTCTCGGTTCGCGGACTCATTCATTTGCCTCTGTGCTTTGTGGTCTAAGTTATCTGCTAATAAAACTGTAGTCGATGCTTCTCTTTGCCTTCTGATTTCAAACACCGTTGATGATTATATGATAACGGTTACGAGGGTGATTGGTCAACGAAGTACAACCACTACAGTATGTTTAACATGTACATATATAAATATTTCCAAAAACCCAATATATAAGTGTTAAGGTATATGATGGATTAACTCTTTAATATAACTAAAATAGTAGCATAAAGTGATAAATCTTAAATTATTATATAGTTGACAACATTATCTAATTCTATAATGTCAGCAACATTATATTCGTATATTTTGCCGATAACATAATGTGTTATTTAGAATAAACTAGATGAATAAAGATAGTAACAGAGATATCTTTGTAGAAAGAAAAAAAACACACTTTGGTAGCATAAAACCAAATTTAGATTTCATATAAAATAAAAATTTAGAAAAAAAATGTCTTCCTGACCACCTAAACATAACTAGTAGAAATGATTATAATGGTAACATTGCCATCTCTATTATTACTCTAAATTTTACACTATACAATTAAAACAATGGTTTTGAGATTATCTATCAAAGTCTCTCTAGGTGTTTAAATTCAATAATATCATGGATTAATTGAAATTAACAGTGTTGGATGCCGACTCAATGATCTAGAGGTTGAACATTCGCACGTGAAACCGAAGGTCTTTGGTTTGAATCCCGCATGTGGGATCGTAAATGCACACTGTTAAAGAGTCTTATACTAAGATGAAACAACCCTCCAATACTTCCAGGTTTCCGATAGTAGTCTTGCTTAGATCAACTCGTGATTTTAACTGTGAAGAAATCAAAACGTATTTCATTATGTCAGTTAAACAAGTGCAATGAAGCAATCATCAATAAAGACTATTTTCGTAGTGTTTTTTGTTTCTTTCTTCTTCATATTTCGGATTTTTTACTTTTCTTATTTTTGTCTAAAAACCAAATTATAGTATTTAAATAAAAAATATAATCAGAGAGGGGTTTTGTGGACATTATAGTAATTTAATTATTGAATTCATGAGTCAATTGAAGCTAGACGAATACAGAAAACCTGGAAGCACTGGACAGTCATATCGTCCTAGTATGGAACTCCTCAGCAGTGTGTATCCACGATCCCGCCTCGCGAGATTCGAACCTAGGACCTATCAGTCTCGCGCGCGAGCGCAAAATCACTAAACCACTGAATTGGCCGGCATCCAACGGTGTTATTGTCTAACTTCAAACAATCCATGAAGTTGCGTCACCGGATGCGCACTGCTGAGGAGTCCCACACTAGGACGATATGACTGTCCAATGCTTCCAGGTTTTCTATATTCGTCTAGCTTCAATTGACTCATGAATTCAACAATTAAATTACTATAATATTCACAAAACCCCTCTCTGATTACTAGAAATTGTTTGAGAAGTTTTATTAGTGCACTCGTTATTAATCTTTGAGTGGTGATCAGTGTTGTGTTAGTCTTGTCTGTAATGATGGTTAAATTCTATCGATTATGTTGCACTATAATCTCAAATCTAAATGACTCAATATCGTATATGGTACATGCAGGTGTTTAAGTAGTGCTTAAATAAAATCAATATTAAAGCCTACGAATAAATACAGTATTCATTACTAGTCGACGAATCATCAATTTGAGCACCTCAGTTCTATCGAAGTTTAGTTACACCTAGGCTAATTCATTGGTAACGCCTCTTGATTATAATTATGAATGATAAAGGTTTGAGTTTCAAGTTTTTTAATAAACTATTAAAGTAAATTACAACTGTCATGTAACGCAAATTCAGAGGTTCT